AATTTTTTTTTCGAATGTGAATACTGTTGCATTTCCTTTGAAGAATTTTTTTGTACGAGTTTCTAATTTCAAAAATAAAAAGTAACTCTAATATAATTTAATTAGAGATTGTGTTAAGACTTAATCATTTGAATGGAGATGAACAAAAACATATATAAAACTCAAAAACAAATCTTTTGTTTTTTCATAATAACCTATGTTTTCGATTATTGCAGAATGAAATGGAACATTTGCATCTCTTTTCCTTCCTAAGACATTGACTCATTGATACTTATGATATTGAATAAAAGCACATTGATTTAAATATAAAATTTAAGTAGAATCATCATTTTCTAATCGAACACTTGCATGTCGTAGAGGGTATCAGACAAAACAATTCTCTGTTTTGATCATTTTCACTTTTCATAATAGCTAATTTCTAGCACATATTGAAACTGAATTACATAATTGAATGCTGGTTCTAAGTGAACATATTCTATGAAAATGAATGACGTCAAATATCCAATTCATCGAAACACAAATTAAGTTCTATGGAATAGTTATGGATCGAAACATCTTCGACTATAGCGAACGAACGAAAGAATGAATCGTCTCCTTTCATTCCATCATGAATTATTTCACTCTTCCATCTTGTGAAACATTATTACGCCGTGTTGCGTGATAGTAGTTTATTATAGATGGCATGTGGATGTGAACATAAAAATACAGAGACACCCGTTTCCTCCACCTCAGGTCCAGCTACCGACACAAAACCATACCCTGACATCCACACCCAAAAACCTTGATAATAATTCTTAACTGAGTTATATTTATTGGTTATTAATTTATGAGTCACAACTTATTACAATTAAGCAAATTAAGAAAATTCATTGAAAACAATTAATTAAGTATTTAACGACGAATTATCGGTTATTTATTTGAATTGATATTGAATTCTGGTACTCGATGATTTCCGTAATCGACGACATAGAGATTGCCGTGTCGATCGAATGATAAACCGATAGGCAGATTGAGCAGGTTCGATTCTTCTCCTTGACCATCAGCCACGGCAATGCCTTGTTGTTCACCTTCTATCCATTTCATCACACGATGATTTCCATAATCAGATACGTATACTGAGTGATCTCGATCGACGAATACGTGATAGGAGTTAGAGAGTTGATCGAGTCAATTTCCACTTCCATTGCCACCCGCAACTACTGTTCCTTGAGATTCTCCTCTTCGATATCGTCTCAATTCATGTTTTTCATTATCAACGACATAGAGAGATCCATTTTCGTCCATTGTCAAACCCCAACAAGTGATGTTCGAGATGATCGTTTCTTCACTTGTTCCATTTCGACGAAGCCATCGAACTATTCGTGCATTCGAATAGTCGCAGATGATGAGACTCTCTCTTTCTCTTTGTCGACAATCACATCAAATGGGTTAGACAATTGATGAGCCCCCATTTCCTTGTCCATTTCCACCGGCAACCGTTTGACCATTCGTTGTGCCCAATTTCCATTCCACAATACGTTGATTCACCGTATCAGCAGCATAGACAGTTTGATCATCATCAACATGCGAACCCCATGGACAAGAGAGTTGATTGATTCCATTGCCTTCTCCATTTCCTCCAGCAACAGTGATACCATTCTGTTGCCATCGAGCATTCGGATGAATGTCAATTGAACATTCACGTAATGGAGAAACTGAAATAGGGAGAAAGAAAAGGATAAAATCTTAAAATAAGAGAGAAAAGAGAGAGCGGGTAAGATATAAATAAAAAAGATTATTTTCATAGTATTTTAACTGCATACGGCTCTCATACAATTTTTTTGATATGGTTTAACTAAAAATCACAATTCAATGTGACTGCAACTATTCTGTGATACAGCTCAGATGTATTTCTTTAGGATTTAGTATCAAATTTCAGAGTCGCATGACTTACTGTGTTCATTATATTTTAAGATGTTCCTTTGAATCTAATAATACACTACTGTTATGTGAATCTTGCACATTCTGATAACAACATTTTCAAACACATTGAATTTTTCAGCATAAACAAATTTGTTTTAGCTTATGAGAAGAGTCCTGCTTGTTTTACATTGTGATGGCAGCATTTATCACATTCAGATAGCACACTAATCAATTTGTTTTTCATTCATTTCAAACGATTAAATTTCATCATTAAAGACGTACCTCTCTCGTTTTCCTGTTGCCTTCGAGTTACACTGAAAATGATTTTTGCATTAAACGTAAGAATGAATAGCATGCACTCTATCTATCATTTCATCAGCAATTATTTCGATTATTTTGGTTTATATAAAGTCTCACAAAGTCGTATGTCCGATGAATTTATTGTTAGCTCCTTAACGACTCTAAACAATTACTATATTCCATTGGAATTATTATTTATTTTTTCTCAATAGTTTCAAAGGATCAATATTCATCTTGTGTTCTACCACATCTCTAATTAATCATAAGTTTTTTTTGTCATAACGATAAATATATAATAGAGTAGTCAACAAATCCGAGCGTTGAATGCTCATTTCAGAATTATCGAAACTCACATGTAACAAGATGTCAGACAAAACAAATCATGTCATTATGATTTAGTAAACGGAAGTTTTCTTTGCCAATAGATGTCCAGCACGCAAATTTCTAAACAGACCAATCTTCTCAAATATCGGTTTTCCATGGGACAATTTTTGCAATGTCTCTTGTAATAAGTTACTTCTTTCAATGAGGTCTGTCAATTAAATAAAATAAATTTTCAATCATAACTTAAATGTTACTTTTTACCATATATCTTGTTTGTCTGTGTGTATGTTCAACTTTATGTATTCGAAGTATAACAAAAAACAAAATCCAAGTGAGCCCCGTTTCTTATGAATTAGTATTTCCAAATATGTTTGTTGAAACCAAAAATTGGTTTACATATACTTGAAAAAAGACGAAATGTAAAGATATTCAAAAATCTGTAAAACGTATCTACGAAGATGATGATGGATTAGCAAAACTTTTTCATGATTTACATGAAGTAATTTCAAAGCGAGCAATTAGTTTGTGGATGAAAATGACCAACAGCACTGGCTCTACCAATTAGTCTAAACCTTCTGGTCGTCCGCGGATCGTTTGAACAAAACCAATGTGTATCTCAAAGATAAAATAAGAGGGTGATAAATAATAAGAAGCAAAATCAAATCTCGTATGTGTTTGTAGCTGTTAAAAAATTAGTCAATTTACCTTATCTTGGCATATCGGAAGTAGAGTACTGCAACCCGGTCGGGTACCCGAAACCGAACCGAACCGGACCATGGGTTCGGGTAAAATTTTTCGGGTCGGTTCGGGCGTCGGGTAAAAAAAAAAGTTTCGGTTCGGGTCCAAATGTAAGACCAAACCCGAACCCGAACCGGTAATTAGTGACATCTCAACTTTTCAAAATATTTTTACTATTTCAAACGGGTATTTACTATTGTGAAGGTATTGGAATAAGAATTAAAGCCGATTGGATCATCACTTTTACGAAAGAGTAAATAGTAGAAATGAAAAAAAGCTTTTGTTTTGTTATTTTTCAAGATTCAAGGTACTTAAAATTATTTTTTAACTGGTTTTGATTTAAAATATTGGCAATATGAATACTCCTAAAAGAGAAAAAGAAAATGTTAAAAAAAAATTGAACAAGGTATTTTTGACACATGTTCTAAACCAGTATCAGCAACAGCACAGTGGTGGAACACGTTTGTTCGAATAAAAGATGATAAAGAAAATATCATTCCATTTGTACAATGTATTAAATGTTTATCAATTTTTGCTTATGAATCATCTAAAACTGGTTCAAGTACTCATAAAGCACATGCTGAAAGTTGTCTTGGTGGTGGTTCTCCAAGTTCAAGCAAAAACCAAGACATCATCGTGATGATGAACAAGGATAATAATAGTAATATATTAGCTGGTCTGAAGAGAGTATTTACTGAAGCATGTGCTAAATTTTGTGCTTATGATTTACGTCCATACGAATCTGTTCGTGGTCATGGTTTCCAAATATTGTGCCAGTCCTTATTAGATCTTGCACGCCAAAATTCGCATCCAATTGAAGCAGCTGCTATTATTCCGGATCCGACGACAGTCTCGCGTCAAGTACAAAAATTAGCTGAAGGTATGTCAAACTAATATAGTTAACTATTTGGTATACTTCTTGTTCTTCAGAAAATCGTGTAAAATTAATTGAATCATTAATACCTGATTTGAAGAAAATTAAACTTTTTGGTGTTACAACCGACTTTTGGAAAAATAAATTTACTTCAGACAGCTATTTAACAATAAATTTGCATTACAATAAAGATGGACAAATGAAAACTTTAATGTTAAAAACTGTTTCAATCAGCGAAGCTAAAACTGGTGGTAAGTTTATAATTTCATATGGATTTTATATTCTGACTTTTAGCTGAGTATTCTTAGAAAATACAAAAAAATTAATAAGAAATATATTGAATTCTTTTGGAATTGATCCTGATGGTTATGAAATAATTTATGTTACGGACAATGGTTCTAATTTAATTTCTGCTTTGGATGGTGAAGCACATATACGATGTGTGTGCCACTGCCTTAATTTAGCTGTTAAACAAAGTCTTGAAGAATGTTCTGTGATCGATGCATTAGTTTCAGATTGTCGAGAATTAGTTACACATTTTAAAAGAGCTGAACTTCAGCAAAATCTTGCATCAACATTAAAACAAGATATATGTACTAGATGGAATTCAACATATGATACTTTATGGTCTGTTTGGTTGAATTACGATGACGTCGAACAAGTGTTAGCAAGTCGAAAAGAAGAACAATATGTTAGTAATATTGATTCACATGTAATTAAGGATATAACTGATTTACTTTCCGTATTTAAAATTGGTAGCGAGAAATTATCTGCTGATGATGTTCCTACTTTACATTCTGTTTTACCATGGTTTTATAAATTCAAAAAATCTTGTGAAATAAAAAATACTGATCGTCCATGTATTGTTCAATTAAAAAAGAAATTATTAACAAAGCTTGTCGCGAAGCTATGGTTAACTGACATTCACTATATCGCTACCTTTCTTCATCCTGAAACTAAATCACTTCCAGTAAGTATAATAAATTGAAAGTTATCTTAATTCGTTCGTTTCTTTTCAGATATTAACTCAAAATGAACGAAATGAAGTAATAAAATCGGTTAAGAAAATGCTCAAAACACTTGACATTGGTAATGATGAAGACTTACATCAAGTGACCTTGATAATTAATAATGATGATAAAAAAAAGAAAAGAAATAAACGCGCCAAACGTGATGATATTAGTGTTGATGATGTATTGAAAGAGTTTATTTCAAATGAAAATTCATCAACAGATGACGACGAACCATATGATGAAGTGATCGAATACATGAAACATAAAATAAATTATCCAAGTGGTGAAGATATTTTATCGTGGTGGAGAAAACATTCATGTATATATCCACAACTATCACGTTTAGCAGCAGCATTACTTTCTATTCCTGCATCATCAGCAACAAGTGAACGGATCTTCAGTGAAACTGGAAGAATTTTAGAAGCAAGAAGACAACTATTGAGTGCTGAATCAGTTGATTCACTTGTTTTTTTACGTAATTTCAGATGAGTGTTTTTGTTGTTTATTTATTTAAATAGATTGTATATTTTTTCATATAAAATAAAGTTAGAAATTGATTGTACGTGAAAATGGTAGCCGGGTGTGTTATACTTATAAATGGCTGCCGGTCGGGTACCGGGTGGAGTTATTCGGGTCCGGTTCGGGTCCGGGTACGGAGTTGTCGGGTCGGTTCGGACTCGGGTACGGAAAAAAGTTCCGGTCCGGTTTCGGGTGAAAAAAAGTGCACCCGTGCAGCACTCTAATC